ATATAAAGGAATCCAGTGCATCAGGGAAGGGTAGACAAATAAACAGTGGCAGTTTTTTAAAGTGCTTCTACATAAATGCCTTCTCTCAAGGCATCTAGATAGACTTGTGTGTAGTGCTGGAGAGGAGCCGGTGGTCGTGGTACATGTAAGTACCAATGATGTTGGGAAGGGTAGGAGAGATGTCCTGGAGGCCAAATTTAGATTGATAGGAAAGAGATTGAAATCCAGGACCTCTCTGGTGGCATTCTCGCAAATGCTTCCAGTTCCACGCGCAGAGTCTGACTAATCAGATGGATGAACAAGAGTACCTCGTATTAAAGGAGGAGATTGACATAATAGGCATCACTGAAACCTGGTGGAATAAGGAACATCTGTAGGACACAATCATACTGGGATATAAAATATATTGGAAGGTTAGAGCAGGCTGTGTTGGTGGCGGGGTGCCACTGTATGTGAAAGATAATGTAGAATCAAATGAAATAAAAATCTTAAATGAATCAACATGTTCAATAGAATCGCTATGGATAGTAATTCCATGCTCCAATAATAAGAAATTAGCAGTAGGGATATATTATCGACCACCTGACCAGGACAGCGATACTGCCATTGAAATGCTGAGGGAGATTAGAGAGGCTACCAAAATAAAAAAACTCTATAATAATGGGGGATTATAATTATCCCCATATTGACTGGATACATGTCACCTCAGGAAGAGAAGCAGAGATAAAATTTCTCAATGGCTTAAATGACTGCTTCTTGGAGCAGCTAGTGCAGGAACCCACAAGGGGAGAGGCAATTCTCGATTTAGTCCTGAGTGGAGTGCAGGGTCAGGTCCAGGAGATAACCATTACAGGACCGCTTGGGAATAGTGACCATAATATAATAACATTTAACATTCCTGTGGTGGGAAGAACACCTCAGCAGTCAGCATCCTGGCATTTAATTTCAAAAAGGGGAATTACACAAAAATGAGGAGGTTAGTTAAACAGAAATTAAAAGGCACAGTGACTAGAGCCAAATCCATGAAAGCTGCATGGAAACTTTTTAAAGACAGGGTGGTATTGATATGACCGTCACTTATTTGTATCGTGGACTTGGTCTTTCTGAAATTACACACACACCTCTGCTAGGTGCAGGGCCTTCTCCATGGCAGGAAAGCTTTCCCTGCAAGTCTTGCACCTGTTCCTCGAGGTCCCTTGACCCATTGTCCTTTTCCACCAGGACAGAAGCCTCTTGCATCTCTAGGTCTATCTACATGTTTTCCTGGGTCCTTTCTGTCCCAGTCCCTTTATTTCTCTCACCACCTATTGTGTGGGGAGATCTCTTTCAGACAAGCCTTGCTCTCTATTGGGCCATTATCATGACTTTGGCTTTCATCCTAGCCCCTTCTTTCTTAGCTCTTTCTTCTTTTAAGAGGGCACTGGCTCTTTAGGTGGCCTGCCTTCTGGGCACCTTTTGCTCTTTCACAATTGGGGGCCTTACTGTGTCCCCTCTTTTCCTTAGGTTCCTCTGGGCTAAGCCTTTGTAATATACCAGGTTATCTGGTGGCACTACTGTGTGTGTGTGTCAAATCAGGACAAATTGCTCAGAACCAGGGCTACTTACAGCCCGATTTGGGGTTCTCTTCTATAAGGCACCAAACCAATCTCACAGAGCACTTGAGCTGCCACACTAGCCAGCAGGAAGTCTCACAGGCAAAACTTCCTAGATGCTCCAGTGTTCCCTGTGCCACAACCAGAACCACTCCTTCTGCAGGTGAAAGGTTATAAAACCAATCTCACCAATTCCAAACAGGTTCTCCACATTCCAAAGGACCATCCACAGTCCCAGGTCAGTTTATACTGTGGATCTTACCCAAAAGACCATGCTGCACCAATCCTTTAGAATCTAAGGCTGTGTCTACACTCACGGCTTCTTGCACAAGAACATCTTGCGCAAGAAAACGTCCACACTGCCATGTGGGAGGTGTGCTTTTGTGCAAGAACACACATGGCAGTGTGGACGTGATCTTGCGCAAGAAAGCTCTGATGGCCATTTTAGCCATAGGGCTTTCTTGCGCAAGAGCTCCTGCGCAAGAGGGCTTACACCTGTTAAAAAAGAGCGTAGCTCTTGTGCAAGAAGTCCTCTTTTACCACGCCGTATTAGACTAATCGAAAACATTCACTCAATATGCAGCAGCAGTCAAAAAAGCAAATAGAATGTTAGGAATTGTTAAAAAGGGATAGAGAATAACTTATTGCCTCTGTATAAATCCATGGTCTGCTCACATCTTAAGTTAGGTACACCATTTCTACCCATCCTGGCTAATAAGCATCTGATGAAATGGTTTTTTTCCAAGAAAACTTATTCCCAAATAAATGTGTTTTTTAAGGTGCCACATGAGACGTCATTTTTCTTTCATAATGCCATTTGCAAACTTTGGTTGACTGGCTGTTCCTTTTAAGTTACCTTCCCTGCTGTTTTCCCAGCACAGAAATTTGAACCTGAGATCTTTGCATAGACCAGAGCTGGGCAATAATTTTTGGTGGGGAGAAGCTCCATGATTTTGGAAAGTGGTCAAGGGCCTCACTTTTCTCTGGGGGCTCATCTAGACTATGCTAAAGTGTCGAAAGAGGATATACAAATTCCGTGGGAATTTGCATATCTTCTTCTGATCTCACTTTCAAAAGTGAAAGTAGTCTAGACGTGTATTTTTTCTGCAGCTCCCTCCCCTTTTCAAAAAGCTGCGTAAACTTCATTTTTTGAGGAAAAGCGGCTTTTCAAAAAAAGGGAAGGGGATTGCCAAAAAAAGCGTCTAGATTACTTTCACTTTCGAAAGGTCTGCTTTTGAAAGTGAGATTGGAAGAATGGCTAAGTAGCAGTTCTGCAGAAAAGGACCTGGGGATTACAGTGGATGAGAAGCTGGATATGAGTCAACAGTGTGCCCTTGTAGCCAAGAAGGCTAATGGCATATTAAGTTGCATTAAGAGGAGCATTGCCAGCAGATCCAGAGAAGTGATTATTCCCCTTTATTCAGCTCTGGTGAGGCCACATCTGGAGTATTGTGTCCAGTTCTGGGCCCCGCACTATAGAAAGGATGTAGATGCATTGGAGAAGGTCCAGTGGAGGGCGACCAAAAATGATTAGGGGGTTGGAGCGCATGACCTGTGAGGAGAGACTGAGGGATTTGGGTTTGTTTAGTCTGCAGAAGAAAAGTGCAAGGGTGGATTTGATAGCAGCTTTCAACTTCCTGAGGGGAGGTTCGAAAGAGGATGGATAAAGGCTGTTCACAGTAGTGACAGATGGCAGAACACGGAGCACTGGTCTCAAGTTACAGTGGGAGTGGTCTAGGTTGGATATTAGGAAAAACTATTTCACTAGGAGGGTGATGAAGCACTGGAATGGGTTCCCTAGGAAGGTGGTGGAATCTCCATCCCCAGAAGTTTTTAAGTCTTGGCTTGACAAAGCCCTGGCTGGGTTGAATTAGTTGAGATTGGTCCTGCCTTAGGCAGGGGCTGGACTTGATGACCTCCTGAGATCTCTTCCAGCTCTGATTCTGTGAAGAAGATATGCTAATTCTCATGGAATTTGCATATCGTCTTTCGATGCTTTAGTGTAGTCTAGATGAGCCCTGGAGGAGATGTAGGGTCTAGGATGGAGGTTGGGTGCATAGTGTAAGGGACTGGGGTGCAGGAGACAGTATGAGATCTGAGAGGGAGTTTGATGAAGGAGGGGGGTGGTGACATGGGTCAGGGAATTAGGGTGTAGTGTCAGGGAATGAGTATGGGTGCAAGAGAGGATTCTGGCCTGGGGGAGGGCTGCAAAATCTGTGAGGGAATTGTGACCTGGGAGAAGGGGAAAAGGATTTAGACTGCAGAGGGCTTGGGTTTTGGCCTGGGGGAAGAGAATGGGGTGCAGAGTCTGGGAGGATGTTTGGGTGCAGGAGAGGATTCTAACCTAGGGGAGAGGAGTAGGAGGGGGTACAGGATCTGGGAGGGAGTTGTGACCTGGGGCAAAGGGGTGCAGAGGATTTGGATGGTGACCTAGGGGTGAGAGTTGGGGTACAGGAGGGGCTGGGGTGCCAGAGGCAAGCTCTGGCTGGAAGGTACTTATCTAAGCATCTCCTGGCCAGTATCCCTGCAGCACCCCCAAGGCAGGGTGGACTCCCTGCCTGCTGCAGCCCCCAACTGCTTGAAAATGCAGGCTGCTCCCTCCATGTGGCGCACTCAGCTTCAGGAAGGGGAAGAGACTTGCATTGCCCCAATCCCCAGGCCAATCTCTTAGCTCCTGTTGGCTAGAAACAATCAGCCAATAGGAACTGAGGATTGGGCTGAAGGTGGGGAGATCACACAGCCTCCTTCTCCCTGCATGGCAGAGAGCCCATGGATTATGCCTTAAACCGTGGCAGCTGCGTGCCTGAGGGGACCCGGTATGGTGGTCTCTAGGCTGGATCCAGTGGCTTGGTAGGCCGGATCCAGTCCCTGGGGCGTATTTTGCCCAGCCCTGACATAGACTGTCATGAAGCTTCTTTGGCCAATTCTTACGCCTTTCATATTACTGTTTCAGAGTAATTATGCTAACTTGTTCTTCAATTACTATATACTCCAGAATTCATCAATTGCTTTCTCCTCTGGGGAGAGTTAATACTATTTTTCATAGTTTTGGTCACTAGAGGCCTGATTGTTACATTAAAGGTCTTCGTACCATTTTTTTCTGCATAAAGAAACCTTAAAGGAGGCAGAAACAGTATCTGCAAATCACAAGAAGCTGAGCACTGGGTAAAG